AGGATACAAATTATAATAACCCTTTATTTATTAATTTTTTATTCACCTAATGGGACTAATGGGACCAATTCCTTTATTTTTTTTAGTTATGTATTATTCTCTCTCTTCAGCCCCTAAACTAACAGAATCCGTTAATTTTCCATTAAAATGTGAATAAAACAATTATAAGATTAATGTTCCAAGATTAAAAATGTAACAATTTAATTTTAAAAGTTCAAAAATTATAAAAATTAGTAAACTAAAAAGAATTAATAGATGACTTTTTCACATATACTAAAAACAACATTGATATTCATAATCAAATCAAGCGATTAGCTCAATTTGAAGAAAGAATTTTAACTGAAATTAAAGAAAATTTATTAATTGAATTAAGATAGAAAATTCAAGAAACCAAAAAAATATAGCCAATAAATTTTCTTTAATCTTGGTTAGATTTCTTTAATTAGATTGAGTTAATCACTCGATTTAATTGTAAATATCTAATATTGTTCTCATATATGTGATAAAATCATTCACTAATTATTTTTAAGTTATTAATTTTTTTTAATTTTTAAAATTTTAGAATTAAATTGTTATATTTTTAATTTTTAAGAATTAGTCTTATAAATATTTTTTTCATTTTAATAAAGAGTTAATGAATTCTGTTAATGGATAAAAAGTTAATAAATAAAAGTTAAATGTTTGATCGATAGGCGATTAACGGTTAAAGTTAACGGCAAAATGGATGACATCCAATTAAGGATGACATCTAACAAAAAGTGTAGTAGAGGGGTGGCATTTATGGTGTAAGAAAAGTAGAGGGATGACATTGAACATTTCCTTAGTAGAGAGATGGTAATGAACATTTTTACAAAGTATGAGGACTACAGTTGGCTTTAACCCTTTGATTTTTAGTACGCATTCCCGTAAAGAATAGACCCCTGCGTCCTTAATTGAATAGAACACCAAAATATCAGGCATGACTTGTGCAATGAAGTTAGAATGTTAAGAGAAAAAGTCTGATCCTACATGGTTGACAAAACCCAAATGGAGCCATAAAGAAACAACACTGCAATAAATTAAATGATACGACTTTACATACCATTTTATTTTTTAGATTCTAACGTATGTATAGTTGAAGATTGTTTTCTTCCAAACTGTATCGAGTCATGTACATTGGGTAGGGTAAGGTTAGATGATCTGGTGAAAATGTGTTATTGTCACGGCTCTATCTAATGTTTTCCTTCTTATGTTATGGAATTTTATATTTTTGAGAAAGTAAGTAAATTTATTTTAAAATTTTGCATTTTTAGTGATTTAGACTACAGTATATGACTGAGATAGGAAATGAATAACGTGATTTTATTTTATAATATAATTTTATAATTAAAGTAAAATAGATATTAATCTTGACTCTTAAAAAATTAAAATTTTAATTTTAAATGACATTATTTTATTTCATTAAAATTTAATTTAAAATTTAAAATTTTATCTTCTTAAATATTAATCTTGAAATTTAAAAATTTATAAATTTTTGAATTTTTGAGTTAAGTTTTTAATTTTTAAATATAAAAATCAACATTTAATAATATTAATTTTTGTATTTTAAATTAAATTTTAATTAAATAAAATGATATTATTTAAAATTAAAATTTTAATATTGTTATAGTCGAGACTGATGTACACTATTATTTTATAATTATACATAATTGTAATCAATTTTTCATTTGATAAAACATATGAATTGACATATATTTACTAATTCAATGATTGTATAAAAATATATAGATATATCAACTTGAATTGAGATGTGAGATTTGTAACCTTTAAATAAATAGAGTAAAATTAAAGAAGAAAAGAAAAGAAAAGAAGATCGGAGTAGTGTCAACCGTCAAAAATGTCAACAGCGCCCTGTTGACGTTTGTTAATAGGGGTTTAATTCTAGGTTTCCTTTAGTTTAAGGACTAACACTTAAAAAAAAAAAACAAAAAGCGAAAAACAAAAACAAAAACAAAAAACTAACACACACAAAAGGTTCATCAAAGATGCATTGTTGTAAGCTTCAGTAATTACTATTGGAATAGAATAGTTTCCAACGACTAGTAGTGGAGTATTGGAGAACACAGATCATCTTATAGATCTATCATCTAAAATAAAATAAAACACATGCAGCTCAAATGTTGTTAAATTGTCACACCTCATGCCTCGTGGAGGGTAGAAGGAGCACAACCATAAACCATGCTAGGCATGCATGCACAGCACTTTGAAATTATATCAATTCTTTATGCCCTTCATCAAAGGAGTTGAAACTAATATAAGTTAAACCAAATTTAGGCATACAATAGCTATACCCCACAGGCAATTTTGGTAAGCATGTTAAACACATAATACTGCACTGAGCATGCTAATTAATAGGAACAATAATATAATAATACCAATCTTACAAACCCATAATAATTAAAGTTCTCCAGTCATAAACAAGTCTTATAAACCACAACTAAGTTCTGCCAATGCAAACACAAGTGGTTAAAACTATCTAAAGTCTAAATATAATATCAAGGTATGAACCTAGGGGAAGAGCTCTTGCAGTTTGTCCCATGGCTTGGCAACCTGAGTCTGGAAATAAAACAAAATATGTTAAGCAATTATGAAACAAAAGCAAAACTGAAAAAGGACAATAATAAATTCACTTTCAAGTAACTGTGCAAAAGAAGTGAGTAAGAAGACACAAATTTATTAAGATGCACATATTGATCATGAGTGCAGACACAAATTTACCATATCAATTAAACCAAATTTAGGCATACAATAGCTATAGCCTATAGGCAATTTTGGTAAGCATGTTAAACACGTAATACTGCACTAAGCAAGTTAATTAACATGAACAGCAATATAATAATAGTAGATTTTAACTTAGGTCAAGCTATTACATGATGTGGCAAATTTTAAAATAGGTCAAGATATTACATGATGTGGCAAATTTTAACATAGGTCAAACCATTACATGATGTAGCAAATTTTAACTTAGGTCAAGCCATTACATGATGTAGTATAATTAGTAATTCATAACAGATTTAAACACTTCCAATACAGCTAAAATGGACAACTAACATGTCAGACATCAATTAAGTCATATATAAAACACATAACAATTTATTGCCTTTGTTAAACAATGTCTATTTTTGAGGCCCGCTCACTTGAATGGTAAAATTAAAGAACACATTTTCTAGAGCATAAGAGAAATAGGGCTCCACAAGATAGAAAATCACACACTACAAGATATGAAATATATCCAAAATAATAAGTCATGCAATATGGAGCAATTAATGGTAAATGTTGCTTACCAAGTTCCTTTGGTAATTTCTTTCTGTTTTTGAGTATTCATCTGCTGAATCTTAGTCTTAAAGGCTTGTTTCTTTGCATAACTCTGAAAGATTGAAAATAAAAAATGAGAAATAACAGAAAAAGTGGTGTCATTTGCAACTTGCAAGTTTGCAGAAACAAAAGCAACAAGATCCTAAAACCATTCAAAGGCTATCTTAATAATCATATTTGCAATAATATACATGAGAGAGAGTCTGTCCTCAGAAAGAAGCACCCACCTCTCGGCTTGAAAATGCCTGCATTTTTAAAAAACTTGTTAAAATCACACCAAAGAAAACTCTCTTTCATTGAGTTTAAGGAGAAGTCCATCTATTTACCACTAAGAACAATACATTCAACGCATATTGTTAAAAAACAGCATGAGAGAGAGAGGTAGAGAGAGAGTAAGGGGCTCAGGCAACGGACACCAAGCATAGAAAGGACGGACAACACTGGACAGAGAGTGGTCACAGCCCAAAGGGAGAAGCAGGAAATGGAGATCGAAGGTCTTGGGAAGGTAGGGAAACAGCAAGCACCAGATGGATCATGGGGAATGGGGTAATGATAAAGGGGTTTACAAGCAAGCTACAGCATTCTTCTTTACTAACTTTCTTGAAGATTGGAGTTACGCAGAAATGTGGTTAACGTTTGCCAAATATGGGAGAGTGCTGGCAATATATAGCCCACAAAGAAGAAGTAAAAGTGGCAATAGGTTCGGCTTTGTGAGGTTCCTTGATGTGAAGTGGGTAAAAGAACTTGAGAGTCAACTGGACCAAATCTGGATTGAGGGGTGCAAACTCTGGGTTAATGTAGCCAAATACCTTGAAGAAAAAACAAAAAAGGTGGAGAGGAGAAGAGTCTCTGGTATAGGTACTGTGGTACAAGGCAAAACATATGCAGATGCAGTAAAAAGACAGCAAGTGGACAAGCCGAGGGAAGCAAGGGGGCATGAATTTGTGGCAAGAGTAAATGCAGATCTGGAAAAGCACCATAGCAAAAGGAATCCCAAGTAGCAAGAGCGCAAACAGACATGGATAAAAAAGAGCAAAGAAACAGAGTGGTTTGGCTTTGAATATAATGTGAAGGTTGAGGATTATGAGTGGTTACAAGGCTGTTATGTAGGAACAGCTCGCTCTGCTGAAATTGTCCCAACCCTTCAAGAGAAGTTTTATATGGAAGGCTATTTCACGTGCCGGTTACGAGCAATGGGTGGGAAGTTGGTTTTATTGGATTGTGAGGACAAGGAAGAACTTAGAGACTTAGTGTAGGGAGCTCCGGATTGGTTAGGCCAATGGTTCCTAGAAGTAAAACCATGGTCACCACCAATGGTAGCAAACGAAAGATTTGTGTGAATGAGATGCCAAGGAGCCCCTTTGCATGCTTGGGGTCCAGAATTTTTTGAGAATATGGCAGTTGCTTGGGGTAAATTTATCTGTTTGGATGATAGTACCAGTAAGAAAAGAAGGTTTGACATTGCTCGTTTCCTCATCTCAACGTCCATCATGGATTCAATTTTAGTCAAAAGACAAATTAGAGTCAATGGTGTGATATACAACTTAAAATTCACTGAAGAGGAACAGGCGAACAACCTTTTCTCAATCAAATATGACCTCATGCCAAATTTCAAGAGTGAATCAGAAAATGAAGAATCATGGTCAGAAGTTAGTGATTATGAAGATGAACACGGAGCAGACTGGCAGACCATCGCCGAAGAAGAAGTAGAAGCCGGTGACACATGGGGTCTATACAAAAAAGACATGGGGTCGATTGTCATCCCATCCTTCGAGGAAGAGGGTGAATTTGAATTAGAAAAAACCAGCAATGACGTGAGGCAATCCAAAAAGGTTGACAAGAGATCACAAAGCCAGATTGAGGAAGAAGATTCAGTAGAAGTGATGGCAGATAGCATTAATGTGGATGAATATTTGAATGATGCAGGAGACAGAGAAGACGTTGGGGAATGCAACTCTAATTCAAATACAAATACTCATGCCACAACGGATCCTATTGAGGATTCGGAAGCCATTGGGCTGGAATTAAGGGCCAAGCCCATTAGGGAGGAAGTGGGCCAAATGCACCTCACAACAAAAGAAATGGATATTGCAACTTCGGCCAATGCATAAAGGAGCAGCAACATGCAATCGGGAAATAAAATGAGGCATGTTAGTGCAGTTGAGAAAGGAGCAACCTGCAAACAAAAAAGGAGCACAAAAGGAGCACAAAATGAGGGTCTACCACGGAAAACTCTAGGCTGTTCTGGGCAGGACTTGCGAGTGACGAAGGCAGTGAGAAGGAAGGGAGAGGTAAAAAGGAAAAAAGAGAGAAGAAAAGGAAGAGGAAGAGAACAAAATTATGCAACTCGGTATATCAAAGAGCCACTTTGCTTGGGCAGCTAAACCAAAAGAAAAAAGGCAAAGCTAAAGCTCGGCCAAGACAACCAGAGGCGCAGGGGAAGAAGATTCCGAAGTTTGTTCCATGCGCAAGCACTCCAATAGCGGGAGGCTCAATGGGGGACAACGGTATTGAGAATTGCAATAGAATTTTGAAGAAGCAACCAAGCAGAAATATTGCAGTAGATCTACGGAATTTTGCCAAAAAAAATAGGGGTAGCAGCTAAGAATGAGGAGAATGTTATTAAAAGACTCGAGGAGATGGAGTTGAGAGACAGTAAAGCTAAAGAAGAGGAGAACTCAAGGAAAATGGCCAAGGGACAGAAGGTTAGTTGTTCTGCACAATGAATATTATGTCCTATAACATTAGAGGGTTGGGGGGTGTTGGAAAGAAAAGACAACTTAGACAATTAGTGTGTAAAGAGAAGGTAGATTTTTTGGCTGTTCAAGAAACAAAGTTAGAAAAGGTGGACAGAAAAATTGCTAGCTCAATATGAGGATATGAAAAGTTTGATTGGGTAGTCAAAAGCTCAGCAGGGATGTCAGGAGGTCTATTGTGTTTATGGAATAATAAGATACTAAGGAAGACACAAGTTTTTGAGGGAGAAAATTATATAGGCATTGAAGGGGTGTGGGTTCCAAAACAAACGCCTGTTATCATTATAAATGTGTACTCTCCATGCCAATTAGTTGGCAAGAGAGTCTTATGGGAGGAGTTAAAAACTCTAATATCAGGAAGGGGGGGGAATATATGTCTGGTGGGAGATTTCAATACAGTTCGGAGAATGGAGGAAAAGGCTGGAAGAAGTGGTTTGACGGTGGAGATGAGAGAATTTGATAATTTTATTTGTGAATCAGAGTTGTTTGACATTCCTCTTGTGGGCAAAAAGTACACTTGGTATCAAGCTAATGGTAAATCCATGAGCAAACTAAACAGATTTTTGCTTTCTGAAGGATGGCTATCAAAGTGGGATGAGGCTAGACAGTGGGGATTATGCAGAACAGTATCAGATCATTGTCCAATTCTGCTTAGACATAAAAAAGTTGACTGGGGGCCTAATCCATTTAGATTTTTTAACTCATGGCTGGAATTAGAAGGGTGCAGAGAACTGATCAAAGATGTGTGGAGCAAGGCTAACATTCAAGGGTGGGCTGGATTCCGCCTTAAGGAGAGACTGAAATTAACTAAGGAGGCTCTAAGGAAGTGGAACCAAAACCTAGTCTCGGATATTGACAACAAAGTAAACAAAGCAGTAGCCGAGATTGCTCAAGTAGATTTAAAGGGAGAAAGGGAATAGCTGACAGAGGAGGAGATCAAAGTGAGAAGGGAGGCCTTTCTAGATTTGTGGAAGAATCTAAAGCACAAAGAAAGCATGCTGCAACAAAAATCAAGGAAAACTTGGCTGCTAAATGGAGATGCGAACACAAAGTTTTTCCATAATTGTGTGAAAGGAAGATGGAAGAGAAACAAAATGAACAGCATATATGTGCAAGGAACCCAGATTGTAGAAGTGAGCAAAACGAAAGAGGAGATTTCATCTTACTTTGAAAGTATGTTTAAAGAAGAGCAGGGGGAGAGACCGAAATTAGATGGGATATGCTTCAAACAAATAACTGGGGAAGACAATAGCTCACTCATCAAACCATTCAATGTAGAAGAGATAAAGGCAGCAGTAAAAGATTGTGATAGCTCGAAAGCACCAAACCCCGATGGAGTCAATTTTAGATTTGTCAAGAGTGAATGGGAGGTAATTAAAGAGGATGTCATAGGATTCCTACAAGATTTTCACAAGAATAGAAAAATGGTGAGGGGACTAAATACCTCTTTCATCGTCCTCATCCCAAAAGTGGATAATCCACAGAAGATTGAGGAATTTAGACCCATTTCTCTCATTGGTGTGATGTACAAAATTCTTACAAAGATTTTAGCCAACCGGTTAAAGAAGGTACTTGATGGGGTAATTGGTGAGAAACAAATGGCATTCATCAGTGGTAGACAATTAATGGATGGGCTTGTCATAGCAAATGAGGTGGTCGATGAGGCAAAAAAAAGGAAGACAAAAACTTTCATGTTTAAGATTGACTTTGAGAAGGCTTACGACAAAGTAAATTGGAGTTTTCTGAATTATATGATGCAAAGGATGGGGTTTTGTGCTACTTGGAGGAAATGGATCAGAGTGTGCTGGAAACAAGCCTGGTCTCAGTCTTGGTTAACGGAAGTCCGACAAGACAATTCACAGTTTCCCGAGGACTCAGACAAGGGGATCCTCTATCCCCTTTTCTATTTTTAATAGTTGCTGAGAAGCTAAATGGTTTAATCTCCACAGCTTCACAAAAGGGCCTACTTGAAGGAGTGCAGGTGGGGTCTCGCGGATTCAAAGTATCACACCTTCAATACGTCGATAATACAATTCTGTTCGGAACAGCTTCTGAGGAAAATGTCTGGGCAATGAAAGGAATACTGAGATCATTTGAATTGGTTTCGGACCTGAAAATTAATTTCAATAAAAGCTAGCTTGTGGGGATAGTGGTGGAAGAAGATTGGCTGGAAAAAATGTCTTGGGTGCTATGCTGCAAAAGAGGATCATTTCCATTCAAGTACCTGGGGATTCCCATTGGGGGGGGAGCTGCAGAAAGCTTGCTTTTTGGAAACCATTGTTGGACCTCTTCTCACGAAAATTATCCATTTGGAAGGGGCAATACTTGTCTCTCGAAGGTAGAATCACTCTTATTAATT